ACGGCATCCCTAAGGACCTCGTGGCTTCCAGAGGGTCCTCGGCGAGGCTGCGAGGCTGCGAGGCTGCGAGGCGTCGTGGAGACGAGCCGGGCGACCTGGCTGGCGTAGCTTGGCCCGGCGGAGGCGGAGCGCGGCGTTGCGGCGGCCGGGCCCCGCGCCAGCCCCGCGTCCTTATTAGTCTCCCTTATCCGGGGCTGTGTCTCCGCGGCTCTCACTGCCAAGCAGCAGGCAGCGGGCATCGCCTGCAGGGCCTGCAGGGCCTGCAGGTACACGCCAAACTCCCTGCGGGTGGATGACGGATTCTCGGCAGGAGTGCAGGATTGAAGGGAGTTTAATAACGCGAAGGCTCCAGGACGGTTCGTTTCTCGGCCTCGGTCCCCCTGGGCTGGGCGGCCCGGCCACGGCCTGGCGAGGCGAGCCCCAACAGCCCGAAGACGTCGCCTTCAATTTGCCCGGGGCCGGGGGGGGGGGCCGGGCCGAGCCGGGCCGAGACGAACCGCCGCGGAATGGGTTTCGCAGCCGATCGCGGCACTTTAGGAAATGAGGGAGAGATTTAATGTGTTGTGCATTTCATTGCGATCGATTGGATGTCTTCCATTCCTCTCTCTCTCTCTCTTTCTCGCTCGCTCCCTCGCTCCCTTTCGCCCAACCGCCCTCTTTCTCATCCTTTCTGTGTCCGCCCATTAACATTATTGCCTCTCTGGATCCCATCCGCCGTTCCGCGCCGCACCGCACCGCGCTGGCAGTGAAGGACACTGCATCTAGCGCCGCCGAAGAAGCGCTTGAATATCGCCGCGAAAAACAACAACAAAAACGAAAAACGGGGAGAGGACACTGCAGCAGCCACTCCACTCACTCATCCTCTCTGGCAAATATGAGAAATTGGATTGATGCCCCGTCAACACGTTAATGTCTCGGTGGAGCGGCCCCGGCTGCCTGCCGCCCCCTCCCCTCCCCCTCCCCTCCAGTGCCACTCCGCCACTCCACTCCGAAATGTCGAAGGGAGGCGAAGGGAACGCGACACTTGGTCCCGACGAACCTCGAAACGTGAGTATGGAGGAACAAGGGGTGGGGGTGGTGCGGGGTTGGGGCGAGAGCGAGAGAGAGCGAGAGAGAGGGGCTGTCACAGTAAGCGCCACCCATCACGGCTGTGTAGAGTGGTGGAATTCACTGTCACCGACAATCAGGCCGGGCGGGCTGGCCGGGCTGGCGCGGGCTGGCCTGCCGAGGCCTGCCAGGCTCAGCCCCCCTGCGTGGCGCGGCGTCGCGCGGCCGACGGCAGCGTTTTCCGAGACGGCCGAAGGAAGGGCGCCGGCGTCGCCGACGCGCCCGCGGCCGCACTGACGATTTACAGCGACGCGTGGGGGGGGGGCGACGGGAAGGGCGCAGGGCATTAGCCCTGTGGGCCCCGTGGGCCCCGCGGGCCCTGCCCCTGTGGGCTGACACGCCGCAGGACCGCGAAGGGGGAGGGGGAAGGCCACTCAGCGAAATGACTCGCAAATGGGTTGTCGGTGTCCTGTGACGCCACGCAGCACGCAGTGGCGCAGCCACCGCATGGATGCAGGGCGCAGGGCGGAGGGGGGCTGGGTGCGCCGCCTGCAGGTGTGGTGTGTCCTTGACGTCCTTGACGTCCTTGACCACCGCGGGCAGCCGGCCTAGGACGGCGTCGAGACGCGTCAGTCACCCGGCGAGGGGCTGCTGGCCGCTGCTGGCCGGCACTCTGCCTAGCGGCTGGTGGCGGGCTGACGGGGCCGAGGAGGACCCCGGGGCCGGGGCCCCACGGGGGGTGCTGTCGGTCTGTCCGCCCGCCGCTGCCTCCTGGCAGTCCTGGCGCTGTCCGCTCGCCCGATACATCATCATTACGACTAAATGATGGCAGGGCTCTGTTTAAAGTCCCACGATACGACCTCTGGGCCTCGGCCGGGCCCCGGCGCCTCGTCTCGCTGCCCTCGAGTGGAGGCCCCGCGTCCTGTCCGAGGCGTCCGAGTCCGAAAGGCCCCGCCCCGCCCCGCCCCGCCCCGCCCCGCCCCGCCCCGCCCGGCCTCGGCGCCAGGCCCATTTCCATGCACGCCTGGAAGCCATTGTCTCGCGGAATGAAAGATTGCCCGGTCTCTAAGGGCACCCTGATGTGTTTTTCGTTTCCTCCACAAAAGGCTGCTGGTGCCGGGCCGGCCGGAGTCGTCCGAGGTTTTAATAACTGTCAGCATTGTTAGAGAGTGAATCTGACTGTGCGCACGGCGGCACGCGGGGGGGGGGGGGGGGGGGAGGGGGGGATGGCGGCCCAAAGCAGCGGCGCCACGCTCCGCCAGAAGTTTTGAATGCAAACAAAGAGGCTTTGCGGCAGCCTGCCGGCCTCGGCCCGCCCTGCCGCCCTGCCCGCCACGGTCCCTCCAAGGGCCCTCGGCCGGCCAATCATAATTATTTTAATTACTCGCATTCCAGAATCCAGACCGTTGAAATTAAACGATTCCGCGGGCCAGGGCGGCCAGGGCCGGTGGGCCGCGCCGGCCGCGAGCGCGGGGCGCCGCTATGCTCGTCAACACGGCGAGGCGGGCGAGGCGGGCGAGGCGGGCCGGCTCGGCGAGGAATGCGCCGAGAAAGGAACAGCGGAACGGGGCTGTAGGCCGATTCCGAGAGTCGTCTTCGTCGCTGTCTCTCTCGCACCCACACGGGACGCCCCGTGAGTGCGAGAGAGACAGAGCGACGAAGTCTGCTGAAGGCTGAAAGGCTGACTGGTGCCGCACATCCCTGTGTGGCGAGCGGGGCGGAACAAGTCGGAGCCTCGGGCGCCTGCGAGGTAGGCAACATCCCGGCCTCGCGCACGCCTGCCGCGGTGTTGCCTATCTGGCCGTCGCAAGGCGCTCGGCTCGGAGCTAGCGGGTGGCACTCCAAAGCAGCAGCCACACAGTGGCCCAGAAGACCGGTGGAGGCCGCCTAAACTCCAGACGCGTTTTGAGCTGCAGAGTCGCTAAATGGGACTCGAACCGAACGTGTGACCCCATCAGTGGACTCCTCGTTCGGAGAGCAAGCCTTTGGTGGGGTCACACGTTCGGTTTGGATCCATTTAGCGACTCTGGATCTCAAAACGCGTCTGGAGTTTTGGCCGCCTCCGCCGGTCTTTTGGCCCACTGTGAGCCATCCGACAGCTCCGCTCCCGCGCAGCGCAGGGATCGGGTGGAAGCGGTAATCCCCCCGTTAATCCAAAGGTGACTCAGTAGTGTGCCTCTACTTTGCAATAAAGTCCAAGCCAGTCCATGTAATTTTAATACTCTAATGGCCTTTTTTATTTTTTTGCAGTGAGGTGTGGTGTTAAGGACGACGCTTAAAAACTGTACTTCAGAAATTATATTTCAGGAAAACATATGAACATATGAAACCATATGAAATAATGTGTGAGGAGCCCGGTCAATTGGGACATTAGTTTGACTCCTGAATGTCAACACGTAATAACATTAGAATTACAGAATACAATGTGTTATTGGTCGGTAGAACTTTTAATAACAGTTATCAAACAAAAGATGCATTACATCCAGAATATGAGAATTCTTTCAAATAAAAATCTACAAATTTGTTTCAATTAAACAAAGGCACATTATTTTACAAAATTACTTTCCCAGGAAAGTTGAAAAGCGACTCATGAAAGATAGGCTATTAACACACACACACACTCACACACACACACACACACACTCACACACACACACACACACACACACACACACACACACATACACACAAAAAAAAAACAACTTTAAAGAACAGATACAATGACTAACTGCATGTTGGAAGCAAGGTGGGATAATGATCCGTCACTTGAGCAGAATATCACAGACTTTAACTAAAAACTAGTAAATTTTTACTTTTGTGATCCGTCATACCTCTCTATTTAGCTAACTTGTACGTAACTCTCCAGTACAGCCATATTTTCGCGCGTTTGAGCGCGTTTGTCGTCTGTCGTCTGTTTGTTGTGGACCGACTGTCTTTTGTTTCAATGCTGCCACCCACCGCGAAGTTGGCAACAAGGCGCGAGCGCGCGCATTTCGTCTGCTTTGCCCTGTGCACTGCGGGCACTGTGTACTTTATCTAGTGTTAAGAAAGAAATTGAGAAGACAACACAGCTGGATTGTCTGTTAAAACTCAGAACTGAGAAATTTTCCGTCAGAATTTTTCACCTTCTCCGACAAACAGTTCTTCATACGAATTGATTTTCTGCTTTTGGGGTGATCCTCTGGGGGCGTTTGATGATCGTCTCTTTTTCTTTGCTGATATTTTTTACCTTTTAAGACGTAAGTGATCCTAATAGATGTAAATTATGAATTAGGGCTGAGACTATGTGCCTCACTCTGTCATTTTGCTGGATCATGCTGAATGCTGAATCATTTGCTGTGTTATGACCACTACAACAAGTTGACGGGCTTTTGCACTGGTACGGCCTCAATATAGAACCTACTATTCAAAGGTCCACCTTGGCAATGTAATCATCAGTCTCATTCACTGCTGATGAACTTTGTTCTTAGTGCAAAAGGAGCGGCCCAAACACTCTGCGAACATCTGTAGTGACCAGCAGAAATGTCTCTTGTGCCACAGCTGAAAATGAGCAACAGGAAAAGGTTGCTGTGCGTTGTAGAGACAGCCAATTGCAAGTGTGAGACAAAGATTAAAATTTTTATCTCATTGTAGTTTTAATCATTTAAGTGTTCATCCAACTTCAGTCAGCCAGTTTTTAAGACTTTAAATTTAACATGAAAACCATGTGAAAACTTGAGAAAAATAGTAAGACACTCCTTATTTCACTGGCAGCACAATTTGATGATAATGGTTGATTCAAAATGTATTGATTTCATTGATGATTTTATAAGGATGAAATTTAGGCAGCTCTTCTCTTTCCACATTACATTCTCATGTGAATTTGATGTTCAAGATCGTCGATTGAATGGTTCAGTTTCTGGTGATATCACCCTGTTTTATTGGGAGCAGGAATAAAAAATTTGCTAGTCATAAATATTTGGAACCAAACTTTATTGAGAATATTTAATGTTCCAGGGCTAACAAGACATTTCACCTTTCATTTACCTGCAACTCTTTAATCCAAGCTTGCCACTCAAAATGGTTGATGTACAGCAGATAATGGAATAACAAGAATTTTGAAGGAGTATCCAAAGGAACAATATGAAAAATCAATCATGAACCACAAGTACTACCACTAAACATGCAAATACAGTAGTAGGGAAAAGAAAATCTTAAACATTAAGACAACTCAAAACATATTACTACTGGTACTCCCAAGCCAACTTGAAATGCCACAACTCAGGATTTTAACCACTGCTTCAAAAGTAAAGGTATTACAACACAAGATTTTTTTGTCATTTTCTTTTTTAAACAAAATCTTTCAATACAAGATTTTAAAATTTATTGCATACATAAAAACGAGAGATAAAATTTGATGCATACCATCTAAATGCTACTCTACAAATAATTGCCCAGATATTCATAAACCAATCTATAAACAAAACTATTAAGTTGTATGTAATAGTATAACAAGTTCTTTACAAAAAATTAAAGTGCTCCAGTCGGTATAAGCACTTCTGTACATTTAAGACAAAGTTCCTTAACACCAGACAATTAAAATAATTTTAGTCACTCAATGTTCATTTGAAGATGTTTAACAAAATCACTTAAAATCAAGCCAATGATGTAATATAAAATTTAAGTCTTCTTATTCATCATACTCTGTAGCAGGGCCTCACGCAGTTTCTTCACAAGATTTTCCATTTCATCCACTTTGACTTTCAGAACTCTATTCTCTCTAGTCAGAACTTCAGCTTGTTTTCCGAGCTCCGTTTCCCTCGCCTTTCTTGTGAGGCGAGACTTCCTCGATGCCTCATTATTCCGATCACGGAGCTCTCTGTAGCGGTCTGATTCAGAGGAAGTAGATACAGATCTTTCACCTCGCTTAACACTAGATCTCGGCCTCTTTACTTTAGTATCTTCCTCTTCCTCACTGATAGATGTTAGTGACTTCTTAGGGGACTTTCTTGATGGAACAGTGAAGTCCTCATCTGAGTCGTATTTAGATGAGGTTGTTCTCCTACGCCTTGATGGTCTAGTTTCTTCGCTAGGAGATGGAGAAAGATCAAACTCGTCTTCAGAGTATTTCCTCTTTCTTGAGCTGCGGGATGGACGTGATGAAACCTGCTCTTCTTTGACTGACCTTGCTGGAGTTGTTGGCTCTCTTTCCGCTTCAACCACCTCTTCTTCCTCCACGTCAGACAGAACAACTGGCCTTATCTGTGGCTTAACTTCAACTACTACAGCTGATTCAGTTTTGGAGACCTCCTCCTTGGCAAGAGCTGTTGACATGGGCTTTACCACCATTACATTTGGTTTCAATTCTGGAGCTGCAGATGAAGTTGAATTTGAAGCCAGGGTGCTCTGACTGGTGCTAGCTTGTGGAAAGCGGAAAGGGTTGCTGCTGTCTAACCCAACAGGTGGAGTAGCCGCTTTATCCTGTAACAAAATTAAAGAAATATTATTAGAGAGACCAGGAAGATCCTTACAGTATTCTAAAGTGATGAAGATCACAACTGTGTAAGAAACAAATTAAATTGAACTAACATTGAAACTTACATCGCAAAGATAAGAAAGCAGGTCAAAGTTTTCAAGCTCAGGTGTGTCAACAAGAGGCTTGAGAACTTCTGGTGTACTCATCATCGATTGCATTTTGCTAACTCCAGCAAGGGTTCCTGGACTTCCAAACAGCAGAGCATCGAAGTTTATCGCATCCAATTCTGGCATGCTCAGTCTCAAAGGCGGCCTCTGCATTGTTATGCCACTGGCTGAGCGCTGAGGGTGACTGGGCACTGGTGTATTCACAGACGAATGGACTTGATGGTAAGCTTGTTGTGGTCCTGCAAACTGTTGCTGCAGTGGAAGCTGAGCTATGGACTGGACGACAGGCTGCACAGGAAGCTGTGCAACAGGCTGATGTTGAGGTATCACATTAGATAACTGTTGAGGCTTTGGTGCTTCTTTTAAAATTTCGTGGTGAGCCTCAAAAAATAAGTTGGAGTTGCGAGGAGCAATGTTTCCAGCCCCAGCAGGTATCACTTTCCCAGGGCTAGTATGGAAAGTATTTTGAATGAATGCAGGGGCAACTGTTGCATTTTGAAAGAACATTTGAGGAGACGCTGTTTGAGACACAATTGGATGAGCAGCTTGCGATTGGCTCTCAGCAACAGAAAAGAGACCATCAAAAGGATCTACTTGGAAAATGTCATCTGCATTTCCAACTACAGACGGCTGAGAAAAACTGTGCAGGGTCTCAGAAGCATGAACAGTTGGCCCTGCATGCACCTTGGTTTGTTGGTTGTGCAAGTCACTGATGGCAGCAGGACTTCTGTATTTTTTCTTGTTTAAAGCTACAATCTGACCTTGCAGTAATTTCATGAGATCAGCTGCCTTGGATTTACTGTTGCCACCAGGCTGGGCAATACTTGCAATTCTCTCAAATCTCATCTGTAATTCTGCCATCTTGATGGGATCAGAGAGGAAAGGCTGCAGCAGGGCCTGAGGCTGGGCCTGGGGCTGAGGCGCCACAATTGGATTCATATTTTCCTTGGTGTCAATCACTTCTTCTTTAATCACTACTGCGGAAATCGGCTCTTGATTGAAGGGGTTTTTCATAGACGGGTATGTGGAAGCTGTCAAGTTTTGCGGCTTACTTGACTCAAGCTCCTTAACAACTTTCCCTGTCTCTACTTCAGACCACCAACAATCCTTCAACAGCACAGGATTTGACTCCTCAGTGCTGGGGACAGCAGAAACTGATGCGGCAGGAGGGGAGTTTTCTCCCAAGGGACTCCCAGCACCCCACAAGTTAAAACTGTTATCTTCTTCCAGAGGGATAGAAGCAATCTCTTCACTCTTCCTCAGGTCGAAGTCAATCTCTCCTTGGAAATCTGTGGGATAAAAAATACATTTAGTGCAAAAGTTAATTAAAAATATGACATAAAGCATTTGCATAACATGGCATAGAAATGAACTCACCTATTTCAGTCACGATTGTCTCATCTGTAACTGGCGTTGGGCAAGTTGCCGGCGAGCTGGCAGAGGTAGCGCTGCACCAGGAGCTCAGATCCTGATAGCTCTCTGCCCAGTTCTCCGAATGGCAATGAGCATTCATTGCTCCATCCAAGTGTGTTGAGGGTTCGCTTTTGATCGAACTGAAATGAGACACAGACAGTTACAATCTAACCTAATACTGAGCTAGAGAGAAATTTTCTCTGCATTAACCTACCTGCTCATATCCAACACTGGGAGCGGGGGGCTGCTCAACCCAGAGGGAGTGTGAGTCTGCGTTGTTGTAGCAGAAGCCGGAATAACCCGGTTCGAGCCCATGTCGTCCGTCCGCTTCTCTCCAAGAGAAGCAAGCAATTTCCTGGGCAGCAGACCACATCTTCCTTGGGTCTGAAAAGAAAATTTCAAATACTTTAGAAACAATTCAAAATAAACAAGAAAATTCACCATAGTGGGACATTAAATCAAAATTCACTGAACTAAGAAACACTTAACACTTACATTAGGTTGGCGTTTTCTCTCAAAGGAAATGTTGACTTTTGTAGTCACGTAATCAGACGGAAAGTTGAGCAGTCAACCTGTAACACATAAAGAACCAACATATACTACAACTGCAATTTCCATATTGTCAGAGCAGAGAGCTCTCTACTTCTCATCTGCTCGCATACAGGATGAGCATGTCCGGGGCCGAGCCGAGAGAGCGCCTGACCATCAGCACATAGGCCACCCGTCACACACAGAAGAGAAGCGGGCTGCCTAGAGCCCCCTAAGCTAATGACGATTGCGATTCCCATTAACGACTCGACCAGGCTTCAAGATCTTTCGCATCGCCTCCCCGGCCTGTGTTTCCCACCGAATGGCGTAGGCGTAGCGCGCCATAAAATTCACACTAACCGCACAAATACCAGAAAACAGTCCGCGAGGGAAAAGAGGTGTAAAGCCAGCGGGTAGCGCGTCCTTCTGGCATTCGGTATTCCCCTTCCAGTCTAATTTGGGAGTCTTCCGACGCCAAAGTCGAGTTCGGCACTTGTTTGCTTGGCGGCCGGGGCCGGGGCCAGCCGGGGCCGGCTCGGAACTCGCGGGCCTTCCCTTCCGAGAACCGGCGGAATCGGCGCGGCTGGCTGGCTGGGCGCGCTGCGGCGCTGGGCGGGGGAATGACGCTATGACGTCACACTGGGGGGCTCCGCAGGGGCGGCGCCGCGCCGCGTCGGGGGTGTTGGTAAACACAGGCTGGCCAGCCAACCCCGTCAACGCGTCCGACAGCCCATCACCGGCCACCCCACGCAAAGTGTTTCACTTGGTTTCACTAGCACACTGGCACTCGTTAACGTTAAATCCAGCGAGAAGGGGCCTCGACGCACACGACGACGCACATCACAGCCGGGCCGCCAACGCCAACGACTTACCCTCCGAGTCCGGATTACGAGACTTCGACTTGCAGTCGCGGGCGGCTGAAGGCAGCAGCTGGGGAAGCACTGACAGGTGTCAGTGTCTGACGGCAGGCCGGCAGGGGTCGCACTAGGCGCGGCTGCGGCGGCGCGGGTCGCGAGCAGCAGGGTTGCCAGACCCCCAGTGCACCGTCTCGCCACCAGAGCACGCTCAACCCGCCGCTTCCCGCCACCTTTCAAAATAGCCTAAAAACGCCCAACGAAAGCACCATCCCGCCTAAATTCGCGGGAAAAGTAATCAAAAATCAGATTTCAATGTTTTTAGTTTTTACACTGCAAAAAATCAGTGTCTGATACGGATCATGCTACGGCGTTCCGTATACCCCCTGAAATGGTGATACGGACATCCGCCGTACCACTCCTCCCATAAGAGCCTGTGCTTTGTAAAGCGTGGTACGGAAATTTAACGGAAAATGTACCGCTAATTTTACACCGGAGGTTGCCGTTTCGGTTTTCCGTTCGTGAAATAGTCCAAAATGCTCTACGGACAGTGAGGAACGGACGCTCCGTAACGCAAAGTTCCTTGACGAAACGCATGAAACGGACTGGCCGTTACACGTTATCCGTTATAGAAATTTGAGTTACGGAGTGTCCGTTCCTCACTGTCCGTAGAGCATTTTGGACTATTACACAAACGGAAAACCGAAACGGCAACCTCCGGTGTAAAATTAGCGGTACATTTTCCGTTGAATTTCCGTACCACCCTTTACAAAGCACAGGCTCTTATGGGAGGAGTGGTACGGCAGATGTCCGTATCACCATTTCAGGAGGTATACGGAACGCCGTAGCATGGTCCGTATCTGACACTGATTTTTTGCAGTGTATTTCTCTTTGACAATTGAAAACAATAAACCAGGCCCTAACCCCCTTCAAACCCCAGAAATTATAGGGTGCGATCATACTGCCTCGTACCTATACCTCGAGGTATAGGTACTCTCGACTCGGACTCGAAACAAGCCGAAACAACCAAAAAAGGCCACTTTGACCACTTGGAATCAAAACCGCCCAAATTTATTTCATTTATAGCCCAATTTGCGGTTTCCCGTAAGTCGGAATTTCGACCCGCCGACTGAGACCAAATAATAGCCTAAGTGGCGGTTTCTAGCCTAATCTGGCAACCCTGGCGAGCAGCGCGGAGCACGGCGGCTGAGTCGCGGAGGGCGCGGGAAGGCGCGGAGGTCCTGTGGACGACGACGCGGCGCGGTGCGGTGAGTCTCTACCAAACAGTCTGACGTCCCAGAAGCTTCTGAGCGCGTCGGAGCGGCGGCCGCGACTCTCCTTGAACCGATACGCGGCCAGAATCCCCCCACCCTAGCCCCCACCGCATGTGACGTAGCGCCCACCAATGGGAGCGAAGGCTGATGTCATCGCGGGCCAACCAGGACGGCGGACGGGCCGCAGCGCGCGGAGCGGGGAGGCGCGCGCCGGGAGGGGGAGTGAGAGAGACAGACGGACGCGCGGGTCGCGGGGCCGTTGTCAAATTACCCCGCAGCCCTCCACACACCCCTCGCCCTGCGCCGCCCGCCCCACCACCCCGCCCAGCTGTGCAGGTTCAGACACGTCGGATTCGGCCGCCGCTCCATGCCGCGTTCCCAGCCCGTCCCAGCCGGCACATGGGGGCCTTTCCTAATGCGGGACCATGTGGGACACTGTGAGACAGGGAAATGGGGCTTTGGGGACGGGGCCTTTTGTTGAACGTCCAACCTTGAACTTAGGCCCTCTAGGCCCTGTTTGAACACGAAACCTTGTCGAGGTGTTCATCAAAGAGCGTAGTCAATCCCCAGAGAGACGAAAGTACTACCAGTCTGCTAAGACCAGCCAGAAAAGCACATACTGTCCCGGCCTTTTTGGTTTCCCCCCAGCCATCGGCTAGACTGTACCTACTGTACGTACTACTGCTCTGTGAGGGCCTGCAACATCATGTTGCGGCGACCACGCGCTTGTTGGATTCATTGAACGATATCCGCGTGTGAACGTGAACACTGCACGGTGCCCACGCTGCAAAGGTTCGCGTTGCTGTGCATCGAGGAGCTCCAAACGGGGAAAAACTGAGCGAGGCCCAGCCACACAGTGCACACGACTGCTGCCTACTACACAAAACTTTGGGCCACTTTGGTGTGAAGTTTTTAGGTAGGAAGCTAATCGCTGTACAGTAATCCAGCTAAAATAACTCAGCACTTGTTGTTTTTTGCGTGCAGCTGTGAAACTACAGCCTTACGTCGGCCGGCCGGCGGCCCCGCAAAACAACTTGCATAAGACGCGAACGGGGGCTCTTTTATTAGACTTTTGGAACGCTGTCAACCCTTATCTGACCGGCCCTAGGGCAGGCAAGGCAGGCAATGGGTCAGTCACCGCCTAGCCAGGGGCTTGTGCTTTGTGGCTTTGTGTACGCCCAGTAGCACCACCCCTGCCATGCCACCCCTCCACACGGACGCGCCCCCTCCCCCTTCTCCACCGACCTTCGCGAGGTCGGCCCAGGTCGTTCCCGCCTTTCTCTCTCTCTCTCTCGCTCTGCCGCCCTTCCTCGCCATTCATAACACAGGGGCCCGCCTTGGGTGGGCACGGCTGGGCACGGCGCCTGGCGAAAGCCTGGCCTGGCGCCCCCGCGAGGATGGATTCGTGGGGCGAGCGGACTGGACTGCCAGTTCGCGGGTTCAAGCACCCGGCGGTGGCCGTTTTTTGTCTTTCTCGACCCTTGCGTCACGTGGGGGTAACTCCTGGCGGCGTTCGGCGGCCTTTCTGGCGGCCGAACCGGCGATCGGATGGGAGTCCCTACCGCCGGTATTTTGAGCCACGCCTTGCCCAGGCAAAATACTTGGAACTGCGCACTTGCGTGGCGGCGAGGCAGCGTGCCGGCCAAGCGGAAGGCCGGGGGTGGGGGTGGGGGCGGCATGGGGCAGGGGCTGTGTTTTGCTGCGGTACAGGAGGACAGCGTCCGCGGCCCACGGCAGGCCCACGGCCTCTAGGCCCAGGCAGCCCCACGGTGGGCCTACGACGAGAGGCGCGTAGGGGCGCGGGGCCCTCCTGGGGCGGCACGGCGGAACGGGGAGCACGTCAATGACTCCTCGGTGGTCCTCAACCCCGGCCCGGGAGGGGCAGGACGCGCGGGAGTGAGCCGAGCGATCTTCGTCGCCAGGGGAGCTTTAAAAGCCTTCGGCTCGGGAGACGAAGGACGGCTCAGGCCTTCGGACAACGCTCGGGCTAGGTTTTTCACCGCCTGCGAAACCGAACCTCTCGATTTTGAATGCGCGCCACCGAAGCTGATATCGTAAAGTACGAATTACGTCTTCAAATATCATGAAATTATAGAGCTGCAAAGGTTTCATTGCAATAAAAGTAAAAATTACAGTAAAAATGACTTTTCTGCTTCTTTACAGAACAAAACAACAAACATCGATAGGTTAAGGTTCAAACTTGTCAACGCATTTGTTACTGACTGATCAAATGTCAAGCGTTTAAGTTACGCTATGCGTACTTTTTATGTCGTCATTGAACATATTTTTAAGTATCATGGCGAAAATTTCTTTTTAACGAGACTTCAAAACAGGACAACAGGCACAACATCCACCTTGTCGGCGCATTTGTTACGAAACTACTAATAATCAGGCCTAAACTTATCATTGAATGTCTTCCTTTGATAGTATTTTAATAACAATCCAGGTTTCAGAGCTGAATTCAGAGGCAATCAAACGTTAAATTCGATTTTGTGAACGCGTCTCGCGCCTGTTTCACTTGGATTCACACCGCTCCCAACAGCTCCCACCCTCGTGCGAGTGCAACAAGGGCAGATTGATCGGTCTGTCTTCGTCTTACGAGCCCGAGCGTTGTCCGAAAGGCGGTCCGAGTGGAGGACCCTATTTACTTGGGGAATATAAATATTTCCCGCCTAGATTATTCGACGTAACTCCGAAATTTAATAGTTCAGACATCTGGCTTTGACTCAAGCTATTGATAAATATGTTTGAGCGTCACACAAGTTCGCAAATGAGCTGAAAGTGCGGTCCTGCGTACAGGCTCTGTGGTCGGCTACGTCTCCCCATCCTCGCCTGTCGTCGCACTCGCGGTGCGCTCTGTGGGGAAGAGAGGCGTCCAGAGCGACGAAGCGATCATTCGGAAGGCAGGCAGAGCGCCGCGTGCGGAACCACGACGGGAACCGGCACGCAACGCAGACACAAGTTTTGAGACGGCCCGGCCCGGGTGCCATGAAAGAAAGAGAGGGATCAACCATGAGCGCCGGGCCGGACTGCGGGACTTTGGGTAGGCTAGCGTGGATTAGGCCAAAAGCCTCCTGGCATACAACATTCGGTTTTGCGTGAGAGTACAAGAGATGACGGGACAGGACACAGGCCAGGCTGGCCAGGCCATGCGGCCGGTCGAAGGCCGTGGTGGACGAGATACTAGAGGCTACAGGTGAGGGCCCAAGTCGGCTGTACTTGTCGGTACTTGTTTGTTTCCGCCATTTGGGCGGCGGAAAAGCGCGCCCATTGGTCGCGCGTGGCGTCACCGCTCCTTCGGTCCCTTCCCTTCGGCCCTGGTGGCCCTGGCGGCCCTGGCGGCCCTAGTGGCCCTGGCGGCCCTGGCGGCCCTGGTGGCCCTGGCGGCCCTGGCGGCCCTGGTGGCCCTCGTGGGCCTTGTGGGCCTTGTGGGCCTTGTGGGCCTTGTGGGCCTTGTGGGCCTTGTGGGCCTTGTGGGCCTTGTGGGCGCACCGCGTGCCTCCCTGATAGCGGCTCGTCCTCATCCTTATCAGCCACTATCAGCGCGTTGTGTGGAACCTGGCGACCAATCGTGGCGATAGCGGTTCCAGGAAATGGCTCAGCCGCCGTCGGCGTCCTGCTCGGGAACACGCTCGGTCTCTCTCGCACCCGCGCGGGGAACACCCCTTGAGTGCGAGAGAGACAGCCACCCTTCGAAATCAGTCAGCAGCTCGATGACGCCGGCAGGGCATGGCCCAAGATAGAAAATTAATTTACGATAAGACCATTAAGTCATAGTTATTGTCACCGTCGAATCAAAAATTATTCAACCGAAATCAACCGGACAAGAGTGATCAATCATTTTTTCGACAAGACGTCGATATCTGCTTGTCGCCTCCCTTGCCACAAGTTTCAAAAGCCTAGGATAAGATAGTCACGTCTGATCGGCTGTACCGACTGATTCTGAGAAAATGGCATCCAGTACGTGGAGTGCCACTCACCGCCCACTCCATAATAGGTCCTTGTTTTCGCGCTGCTGCAGATAAAATGCTGTCATGACCCCAAAATAGCCGTATCTGCCAGC